AGATTGACTGTGCCCATGTAGCTGTTAATGGTTTGTTGCATATGCTGTTCATGAGACAAGTAAACGGTATGGTTTGATTAAGGATTGGGCAAAAAATGCAGCAATGTGCAATCCTTGATTTTTAAAACAATCCTTTTAACATTTCAGTCCACAATCAAAAATATCAAATTTTTTAAAAATCTTCATGTTATTAAAAAGATTTCGAGTGGATGCAAGATTCGAAAAGGAACTCATCAGTAGGTCTAGTTGTAAACAATAAGGCATAGATTTTGCTGGCAGTGCTAAAGAAGTAGCGTGCTGTTTATTAGACTGACAGTTACCCAGAAAATTTCTGACACATTTCACTAACACTACAAACAACTGAATGCACCAGCACTATCCTTTTCTGCTGTGTTCCTTTGTTAAGTAGTAACTACTGTAACTTCACACACTTTTCACTGATTTCAATGCCGAGTATAACAGTGATATACTGTTACAGCATGATGAAAACCTAATAAATACAAGCAATACAACGAGTGGTGATACCAAAAGGCAGCTGTTATGGCACAGGGATAGCAAGCCAACCAAAATCAGCCTCAGTATTGCTGGATTAGCAACACTGTGCAATTAAAAGATTCTCTGACTCAAAATTGCTCATATGTTCCTAACCAGACTTTACAAATAACAGATCTTGGATAGCAAGTTTATAACTTGAACAAAAATTAACAACTTATTGTTAATAATTAATTAATACATATACAATGTAACTTTAGGAGAACACAGATGAACAACAAAGCAATGCTAATCAATATTTACAATCAAAGTCCAATCTTCTTTGATCACAAGACCCCACTCTCACACTGATAGACAGTCAGACACAGTTGTGGGATATATTATAAAGAATAAAAGAATCTCAAGTTGCCAGTTTCATAGCTGTTTCAACGATGAATACCAGGCCTTTATGAAATCAACGGGTTGTGTTACAGGCAAAAACAGAAATTGCTGGCAAAACTCAGCAGGCCTGGCAGTATCAGTGGGGAGAAAGGCAAGTTAACGTTTTGGGTCCAGTGACTGTTCATCAGAACTGATAGCTGAAGACGAGGTTGGTGAAATGTGGGGGAAAGGTGAGCAGTTAGATGGAAACAGAGCCAGAGGAGATAGATATGAAAGGGGTAAACAGATCAGGGGATTATTGGTGAGCCAAGACAAAAGGGAAGCTGAAAAAAGTGATGAAAGCAGAGAGTAGGAAATATTGGTATGTTGTGCTGAAAGTAACTTGTGGCAGGGCCAGGGTATGTGGGTGGGTAAAAAAAAACATGGATGGAATTTAAAGGCTGTAAAGTTATTGAATTCCATGTTGCGTTCTAGAGGCTACAGGGTCAAGAACTCCATGTTGCGTTCTAGAGGCTACAAGATCCCAAAACAAAAAGTGAAGTGTTCTTCGAGCTTGCGCTAAGGCTCACTGGAACATTGCATTAGGCCTGCCACAGAAATATTGACCAGCAAACACAGTAATCTGTTGAAGTAGGAGGCAGCTGGAAACTTGGGGTCATTTTTGCAGACACCCTGCATTTCATTTCCCCGACATAGAGGAGACCACATTGTGAGCAGTGAATACAGTAGTCTAGATTGAGTGAACTGCAGGTGAAGCACTGCTTCACCTGGAAGGTGTGTCTGGGGACTTGGATACTGAGGAGGGAGAAAGGAGGAGTGGACCAGGGTGTCCTAGAGGGAATGGTCCCTGCACAAGGCTGACAAAGGAGGGGAGGGGAATATTTGTCTGGTGGTGGCATCCCACTGGAGGTGGCAAAAATAGCAGTTAATGACCCTTTGGGTGTAGAGAGTGGAGGGATGATAGATGAGGACCAGATGAGACCCTATCGCTGTTGTCAGAGGGAAGGGAAGAGGTGAGGGTAGAATTGTGAGAGATGAGCCAGACATGGCTGAGGGCCCTGTCAACCACAGTGCTGGGGAATCCTTGATTGAAGAAGAGGATGGATATTTTGGAGGCCCCATTGTAGAAGTTGGCATCATCGGAACAGATGTGACAAAGACAATGAAAATGGGAGACTGGAATGGAGTTTTTACAGGAAGCAGGGTGTGAGGATGTGTAGTCAAGGTAATTGTAGAGTCACTGTAGAGTCAAGGTAACTGTAGCCTGCCATTACCCACCCCTTGTTGTTAGTCACTAACAATGATTCACCCTCCATTAACAACTATTCACCCTCCCAGCCTGATCGTTAGCAACTCCTTTGTCTGTCCAACTGTCTTTCTCTCTCTTTGGGCTCCATCCTATCGTTTACTCCCTACCCCACCCACCTCCCTATTTTCTGCATATAAACTGACATTTTCCCAGCCACCATCAGTTCTGAGGAAGGGTCACTGGACCTGAAACGTTAACTCTGTTTTCTCCTTCACAGGTGTTGCCAGACCTGCTGAGCTTTTCCAGCAACTTTGTTTTTGTAACTGTAGAGTCAGTGGGTTTATAATGGATATTGGTAGCTAGCCTATCCCCACAAATGGAAATAGAAGTGTCAAGAAAGAGAAAGGAGGAGTCAGAGATGGATCAAATGAAGGTGAGGGCAGAGTCGAAATTGGAAGCAAAATTGATAAATTTTTCCAGTTCTGAACAAGAGAGGGAAGCAACACCAATGATTCATCCATGTACCGGAGAAAGAGTTGTGGGTGGGAGCCCAAGGAGAATTGGAACAAGGAATGTTTCAAGTACCCCACATAGAGACAGGCCTGATTTCACACCAAATTATAATAATTTGCATATGTAAGAATAATTCTTCTGTTCTCACTTTACTGTTTTGCTAATTGTCAAATCTGTTCAGGTTCTCTTTATTTATCCTATTAAAATACTCATAATTTTGAACTCCACTATCAAATCTCCTCTTAATCTTGCTTACTCTATGACCACAATCATAACTTGCCAGTTCTCTCTAAATGACTGTTGTCTTTCATCCTTAATAGCTAATAGATTACTTCTGCGCCATTCAAGTCCTTGACCACCTTCTTAAAGTGTGGTGCACAGAAGTGGGCTCAATATCCTAGCCAAGTCCTAATATCTGATTTATAAAAGTTTACTGTACTCTGAGACAACAAGATGCAGGGCTGGATGAACACAGCAGGCCAAGCAGCATCATAGGAGCAGAAAGGCTGACGTTTCGGGCCTAGACCGTTCATCAGAAAAGGGGGAGGGGAAGGGGGTTCTGAAATAAATAGGGAGAGAGTGGGAGGCGGATAGAAGATGGATAGAGGAGAGGATAGGTGGAAAGGAAACAAACAGGTCGAAGAGGCGGGGATGGAGCCAGTAAAGGTGAGTGTAGGTGGGGAGTTAAGGAGGGGATAGGTGGGAGGAAGAACAGGTTAGGGAGGCAGGGACGAGCTGGACTGGTTTTGGGATGCGGTAGGGGGAGGGGAGATTTTGAAGCTTGTGAAATCCTCTGTTCGTTTTGTACTGTATTGTCAAGGAATGTGGATATGCCCATTCTCATGGTGCTTCTCCAGATGGGGAGGATTGATACAATTACAACTCTGTGGTGTTATGATGAATGGGCTGTAGCACAGAGGGGTCTGTCTGTTCTACATTGTACTGGCTAATGAACCAGATGGGAGATTTTCATGCAATCTGCTCAATAATATCACCACCTGACTTAAAACCTGACGTTAATAGTTAAGATTGGCACCTTCAAATTTTCTGTTACGCAGTTTCAGTTCTGTGCTTCAAGTCAGAAGCAAAGCGTCCAGGTGAAAGGTTATGGAAAGTTGACATTTTACGAATGACTATGATTGCGTTGTGAGGACCATAGATTGAGAGAAGAATTCTCCATCAAACCTGTTTCTTTTCAGTAGACACTGACCATTTTGATGATCCATTCAAAGTGAACTGTTAAGACTCAACAGTGATTCTGGTAGATTTAAGCCTAATTTAAATACTGAACTACCCAAATTGAAATGTGTTTTTTTTTTATTAATTCATGGGATTGGGCATTGCTGGCTGAGTGAACATTTATTGTCCATCCATGGTTGCCCGTGAGAAGGTAGTGGTGAGATTTCTTCTTGAACCACTGCAATCTGTTTGTTGTGGATGGACCCACAATGCAGTTAAGGGTGGGAATACCGTGGTTCTGAGGAGCCTTGGTGAATTTCTGCACTGCATCTTGTAAATCGTACACACTGCTGCTACACAGTGTCGGTGGTGGAGGGAATAAATGTTTGTGGGTTTGGTGCCAGTCAAGCGGGCTGCTTCGTTCTGAATGTTGTCAAGCTTCTTGAATGTTGTTGGAGTTGCACCCATCCAGGCAAGTGGGGAGAATTACATCACACTCCTGACTTGTGCCTTGTAGATGGTGGGCAGGTGTTGGGAGTCAGGAGGTAAGCTACTTGTTGCAGGATTCCTAGCTACTGACCTGCTCTTGTTACCACTGTATTTATATAACTGATCCAGTTGAATTTCTAGCTATTGGTATCATCCAGGATATTGATAGTGGGAGATTCAGCAATGGTAATGCCACTGAATTTCAAAGGGCGTTGGTTAGATTCTGTTTGTTTGGAGATGGTGATTTCCTGGCAGTTATGTGGCACAAATTGCCACTAGTCAGTTCAAACTCGGATTTATCCAAGTTGTTCTGCATTTGGACATGGAGTGCATCAGTATCTGATGAGTCGTGAATAGTGCTGAATATTGTCCAATTGGCAGCGAGCATTTGGCCTTATGATGGAGGGAAGGTCATTGATGCAACAGTTCAAGATGGTTGGGGTACGATATTGAGTCCTAAGAGATCTACTGTTCCTTAGTTTTTAGAGGTAGCCCAAGGACTGCTACATTTTGGTGAGAATTATCCCATGAAATAATAGCTAAGCATTCTGTAAAACCAGATAAAATTATAATTTGATTTCTTAGAAGTAAGGCAATGAAGATTTTAATTCTGTCTCTATTAAACAGTGTTTTATCAATTCGATCTAAGCACCTGTTTTGTTGAAGTCTAAAACCAATTTAATGTTTTCTATTTCAGGGGTGAAATCTATATTGCTCCATCAGGTGTTCAGAAGGAGAGGATCCAGGTGTGTGACTAATTTATTATGGTGAAGAGAAAGCAAAAAGGATTTGTATTTATCCCATACCTTTTATGATTCCAGGATCTCTAAGTCTGCTTTACATTCAGTGAAATTCTTTGCTGTGTTACAGTTGTAATCTAGGAAACACAACATCCAATTTCACGCAACAGATTGCATAAACAACAAGGTGATAATTCAGATCATGATTTTGTGAAAGGAAATATAATGCAACGTCATTGACCTGAAACGTAAACATTATTTCTGTCTCCAGAGATGCTGTCTTAATAACTGAGTACTTTCAGCATTTTCTGTTTGTATTTCATGCCTTAATAATATTGGTTGTTGGGATAAATGTTGGCCAGAAAATCAGGGTGAACTGTCCTGCCCTTCTTTCCCTAATGCTGTTGGATCTGATATACCTATCTGAAAGGGCCTTTTGTAACATCTTATCTGAAAGTCAGCATTTCCCCCAGAGCTACAATCTCACTAAAGTGTCAGTCCTATTTTGTACTCAGGTGCCTAGAGTGAATTCAAATGTAGACCTCCTGAGTCAGAGTCAAGATTGCCACCTTGTGAAAGGCAGCTGGTAACACCAGCCATTGACATTTCTCTGCAATAATTCATATCTTGTCGGAGGAATTCTCCCGTTAGCTAGCTGTATTGCAATTCACAATGTTATGTTAGAGAGAGACCATATGAAAGATTGAAGAGCCTTTAATTGGCAAGACTACTTGGGCTCCTGTACTATAATCTTGTTAAAGTTTGCTACAACAATAGCAAGGTTTCTGGAGGAGCAGGGTGAATCATGTTGCATCTTTTCTCGTTTTCACATTTTACTACATATGTGCAGTTGACAGAAGTTACCTTCCGATGTACTTTAATAATGGTGAATTATGATAACCTCACTGTTACTTCTACCACAAAACCTGTGCCAAAGTATAGCTGACTAGTGTCATTAACAGGATCCTTCTCTACACAAGTGTTGACATCTCAAATCATCAAATATTGAAATGTGATTTAAAATGGTTTTATTTTTTCACGTACTATTCAACAGCAGACTGAAGGACTTATACTTAATGAGGCTTCCTGGTTAATTATATGCGGCATTCGTTGTTTTGAAGTTCCTATGCTCTGTAGTTGAATGAACTTATTGCATGTGTCTTGCTTGTACTTTACATTGAAACATTTAGGACTGTATGGGAAGAATCACTAAGAGTAATGCACAGAATGTGTACAATTTGCAAGAGTTCAGCTTCTGTCACTCATTCAGCAACTCTCCAGACAAGCTGAAGGTTAGTACTAGATCAGAATCAATTGTCACTTTCCTCTGTCCAATCTTGTGATCTCAAATTCTCCTGTCTTGCAGCCTGATGATTTGTTTGTCTGTGACATAAAAGAACGTTACATCTCTGGCCCTCCACTCTCAAAGAAGCTGAAGAAAAGTCAGTGCACCCCTCTTTTTATGAATGCTTACACCATGCGAGGTAAGGGGTTTGTGAACAATGCCTTCCAGAATACTTGATCTACATACTGTTTCTGAACTGGAATGGACACATTGGGGACAGAACATGGTTTCTCTCATCTGATGTGCATATTTCCACGAGTGAGCGCACACTGTTTCTTGTTGTCAATATATAAAGCTGGTGAGATAGCACCCACTGCATCTCAATGAGAATGGACACATTCTGAATGGGTATGTATGCATGATAGTCCACTACAGTTCCTCAGAGATGGAATGCCCCATTGTTCTGCAGTTGCCCAAAATGCAGTTTCTCTATCTCTGACCGTTTGGTAGAGTTAAAAGTAATCTAATGCAGAATGAAAATATTTTGAGTCCTGGGATAGTAGGAACTGCAGATGCTGGAGAATCCGAGACAGCAAGGTGCAGGGCTGGATGAACACAACAGGCCAAGCAGCATCATAGGAGCAGAGAGGCTGACGTTTCGGGCCTAGACCCTTCATCAGAAAAGGGGGAGGGGAAGGGGTTTTGAAATAAATAGGGAGAGAGTGGGAGGCGGATAGAAGAGGGATAGAGGAGAGGATAGGTGGAGAGGAAACAAACAGGTCGAAGAGGCGGGGATGGAGCCAGTAAAGGTGAGTGTAGGTAGGGAGTTAGGAAGGGGATAGGTCAGTCCAGGGAGGACGGACAGGTCAAGGGGGCGGGATGAGGTTGGTCGGTAGGAGATGGAGGTGCGGCTTGAGGTGGGAGGAGGGGATAGGTGGGAGGAAGAACAGGTTAGGGAGGCAGGGACGAGCTGGACTGGTTTTGGGATGCGGTAGGGGGAGGGGAGATTTTGAAACTTGTGAAATCCACATTGATACCATTGGGCTGCAGGGTTCCCAAGCGGAATATGAGTTGCTGTTCCTGCAATCTTCGGGTGGCATCGTTGTGGCACTGCAGGAGGCCCAGGATGGACATGTCGTCTGAGGAATGGGAGGGGGAGTTGAAATGGTTCGCGACTGGGAGGTGCAGTTGTTTATTTTGAGTCCTGCTGTGTTTGATAATATTGAAGTCCCATAAGAGTGAGTAGTATGTTTCACACATTACTATCATAGAAAGTACAGACTCCTCTTCAAGGTTTAAAGAGTTCTGCAGAGAAATCCAGCTCTGTCCAAGAAGAAAATCTGATCAGGTTCAACTTTTGCTGATCAAAGACTGTGAAAATGAATGTATCTGCCCATCAAACCTTCACAAACCCAGGTTCCGTTTATCTGATGACCTACCGCATATTCTTTCACGCTGACCTCTAACTACCTATGGAAATTTGTCACTAAGATCAAAAACATTTGAGCTTCTTCCTCTTTTTCTCCTCCTAGCCCACATCTTCAGCCGCCTTTAATGCTGCTTTTATCAAAACAGACTTGACTGCCCAAAACTGTCTTTACTAACTTCTCAGACTTGGTACTCACAAACTACAAATAGCCCAAAACTCCATTCTGACACCTGATTGCCCATTAGCCATGGATCTCACTGATCTACACTGATTCGTAGCCACCATCGGCTTATTCAATTTAAATCCGTTCTTTTTTTTAAATTCATGCACGGGATAAAGAAATCACTGGCTCTGCCAGTATTTATTGCCCAGAGGGCAGTTTAGAGTGAGCTACATTTGTGTGGGTCTGGAAGTCACATGTAGCCCAGACCAGGTCCTTGAATGTAAGCTCTTGTATGACTCTGCCCCTCTACCTCAACAATATCATTCTTGGGGAGGTGATGGCCTATTTGTCTTGTCACTGAAATAGTAATCCAGAAGTCCCAGGAAATATTCCAGGGACTATGTGTTGAATCCCAAAATAGCAGATGCTGAAACTAAACTAAAGATTGTCCAGTCACGACCATGTAATTAGGGATGGGTAGTAAATGCTGGCCTAGCTCATTCTGCAAATGGATAATAAAATTCAGGAAGAGTTTCTCTCTGCCTATTTTATCAATTCCTTTCAAAATCCTAAAACCTTCAACCTTCCAGGGTGTAAAATACATTGTCTCCTCACATTCTGACCCCAAAGCTCTGGTAATAACCTGGTGAATCTGAGCTGCACTCCTTACAAGGCTATTATATCCTTTCTTAGTGCCCAGAATTTTGTACACATTCCAGATGTGTTTCATCTAAGGCTTTTTACAGTTGTAGCAAAACTTTCCCCCATTTACTTTTTACCCCTTTATTTTATTACATGACTGCCTTTTAATTAACTGCGTACATGGACCTTAACTCTCTTTGGACTTCTACTCTTCCAAGCTTTTCACCATTTAAGCAATACTTATTTTTAAAAAACTATCCTATTTAGTTAATTTTGGATGACCTCACACTTAGTCTGTTAAAATATATGTGCCACAGTTTTGCCTGTTCACTCAATTAATGCTCCTTTTTAAGTTTCTGTTCCTGTTTAAACTACTTTGTATTAGGTAATCTTAGGTACATGGCTTTCTATTGTGGTAAGGAAGTCACTAATACAGTGCTTCCCAAAGTTTTTGCCATTGTGACCTCATCGAGGTGCTTGAATCTTGCTGTGACCTGTGAACGCCACCCAGGATTGGGTTTCAGGAACTGTTACAGTAACAGACTGGGGTTACAGAGAGACCTCTGACAGCAGAGGAGCTGTTTAATGCGGAGAGTTTAACTGGAGAAACACCTACCTTGCCACTAGCTGTTTCAAGGATTGGACAGTCAGGCCATGCCATCTGTTTAAAAAAAACAGAAGATTTAAATGGACCACACAACTGCTAGCTGTCAGTCAGAGCTCCATTCATTGCTGCCTTGGAAATTGCAACCTCAGAATTCCAGTACTGATCCACTGGGAGTTGTGCCCCGCATTTGAGATTCCCTGCATGAATACATTTACTGTATAGTTGAAACTCCAGCAGAAATTCTTGTGAAACCACTGGTTTCTTCCTTCCAACTTAACCCATTAACCCTACAGTTTCCTCCCTTCTAACCAATCTCCTGACTAAGTTATTTAGCCATCAATTCCACAAACTTTGATTTTAACCAGTATTGTCATATTATTTTAGTTAATTTCTATTCAACTCAAGTACATCTCTTCAAGCCCAGGTTTAGGGAGTAAGCTCCAGATCATAGGGCCTAGATACTGAAGACAAAGTCTCCACAGAGTGGACAATGAAAATGGGGGTCTGTGCAAGAGTTCTGAATTTGAAGAACACAGAGTTTCTGTTGGGTTGCAGAGCTGGAATATTCTAGAGGTAGAGAGGGATGAGGTCATGAAGGGTTTAACCACAAGAATGAGAATTTCAGTTTTGAAACATTGTTGGACATTATCACTACAGGGAATGAATGCTCCCTTGTCTACACCAGCTCTCTGTATTGTCTGAGCAAGATATGGTGCTGCTAGTTCAGTTCCATATATTTGGGAGTCCATATGAAGTGCTGATTGTAATTTTACAGGATCTGGAGCAGTAATACACACGCACTCTAAAGCTGCTGTCATGGTAACGCTTCTCTTCCCGGGAAAGGAATTTCAAATTACTCATCAAGAAATGATTAAAGGAATCAGGAAATGTACGTCTGGAGGCTGCTACAGGTACTACACTCCTCAGGAATTGTTATACTGAACATAAATCTGGTCTTGTTTGGCTTAATCCTGCTAGTGACCTGAACAGTATTGTTCTCATTTGATTTTAACCTAGCAGCAATAACTTGTGGGTAGGAATATTGCTTTGCATCCAAGCCCTCCCATATTCAAATCATGTGTGAAGTGATGGAGTAAGCAGAGCTTTCTCCCTTCCCTGGCCAATATAGTGACTACTATTGGTAAAGCATTGGCAAATAGTTTGTATTGCAGAGGTTAAAATTGAGTTTTAGTTACAGTGTTCACTTTTTAAATGTGAACTGGAAGACATAATGCAAGGAAGGCTTAGCAAAATTCATTTCAGAAATTGAATGGAGCTGCCTTTTGAGGACATGTTAGTTATTGCCCCATGCTATCACACAATGAAGTAGCCTGTGCTAATAACTATTATATAGTGAAGAGTCAGAAGAGGTGAGACAAAGTGGCATCGAATCCTCTTGGGAATGAAAGAAGGCTTAACAGCTGATGCAAGAGCAGTGGTTGTTTTAACCTATTCACACCCGCAGAACCAAATGAATTCTTAAGTTAAAAAACATAGGGTAATCAGTATCGGTGCATGTCAAGAAAGCAATTGGAAGTCCAGTTCTTTACAGGAACATAGGAAGAGGAGTAGGTTATTCCGCCCCTCAAGCCTGTTCCGCCATTCAATGAGATCATGGTGATCTATGATCCATACGCCTGCCATATCCCTTAATATCTTTGCTTAACAAAAATGTGTTCATCTCAAATTTAAAATTACCAACTTATCTAGGATCAACTGCTGTTTGTGGAAGACAGTTCCAAAACTCTACCATTCTTTACATTTCATGCGTCTCGTTGAGGTTATTTGGCAACGTGAAACTATTGCACAAATTCAAACACAAGGGAAATGATTTCCTTGTTTCATAAAACCTCACTGAATTTGTTTGTGTTTGTCAGGTATGATGACCTGCTGGTGGTCCCTATCATAGAGAATACACCAGAGGAAAAGGATCTGAAGGACCGGATGGCACGTGCCATGGAGGAGTACCCAGATTCCTGTGCTGTACTGGTTCGGCGCCATGGCATCTATGTATGGGGGGAGACGTGGCAAAATGCTAAAACAATGTGGGTGCAGTCTGTGCTGGTTAATCTATTTCAGTATCTCTGAGCAATGCACGCTAACCCAATTCATTTCTGTGTCTCCCTCCATAGGTGTGAGTGCTATGATTATCTGTTTGACATAGCTATACAAATGAAACAGTGTGGCCTTGACCCATCTCGCCAGCCAGTGGAAGAAAGGGGCATTATCTAAGGTGACTCCATCAGGCAATACCTTTGGTCCATTGCAGAGCTCCACTGTAAATCCGAAGGCCTGTGCTCATGATGGAACTATCTTTGATCACTGACTACTACATGAACTTTACAACCCGGCTGACAATATGAACGGAGCTTAACTACAGCACAAGTGAATAGTCACATTGATGTCAGATATCCATGTGCAGATAGTTTTATGCAACCTACTCCATGGTCTCTTAATCGCTAACATTAGGACTCAACAAAATTGAGTATTTTGTTGTTAAATCAAGTTCAAAGACTGTGCTCTGGTGTAAGTGGCCACAAAACTGCTATTAGGCACATTAACCCCAAGCCCTGTATATTTAAATATGATGCAGGTCAATCATGAGAGAAAGTAGTCAGTCACTTCTTTAGTCTTATAAGTACTTTTCTCCAGGTAATTTTAACCTGGAACATAGCTTAGTTGTAATGCTATTGCATAGTAAACCAGTCTAATTCTCAGGCTAATTTTCTGGAAGAAAACAAGAATCAGATGTCATAGCAGTTGGTGGAATTTACCTTCAATCAATTCATATCTCAGTGGCGGTGACATGAAACTATCAGACTGTCATGAAATCCTGTCTGTTTCTTTACCATCCTTATCTCGCCTGGCCTACATCTGTCTACAGATGGACAGCAATATGGTCACCTCATAACTGTCCTCTGAAATGGCATAAAAAGCCACTAAATTATATGGAATCACTGCAGAAAAGTTGAAGAATAAAATCAGCTCAATATCAACCTAGACTGTGAAAATTATAAATGCACACCATTCCCAGTCAAGCGTTAGTAGTCCTCGCCATTAACTTGAGGCCTGCGCCAAAATTGAGAGAGCTGTCCCACAGCCTAACCAAGCAATAGGTTGGCAGTCATACTCACAGAATTATCCCTTATAGAAACTGTCAGAGACTCTTCCATCACCATCCCTGGCATTCCAGTGGCCAAACAGACCCAGCAGGGATAGCAGGTTTATAGCCACGACAGATTTGATTTGGGAGACCTCAACATTAGCTTCAGAGCCCATGACATCTCATGGAGTCAGATCAAACATGGGCAAGGAAAGAAAAACTTCTCCTGATTATCACCTATCTGTGTATCGACAAGAGTGACTGAGCTGGTCAAGTCCTAAAAGACATCTGTACCAAACTGGACTTGCAACAGGTGGTCAAACAACCAACAAGATGGAAAAACCTACTTAGAGTCGTAGAATCCTGACAGTGTAGAAGCAGGCCATTCAGCCCATCGAGTCCATACCAAATCTCTGAAGAGCATCCCACATAGACCCACCCCTTCCACCCTAACCCTCTAAACCCTTAATTTCCTATGCCTAACCCAACTAGCCTCCACATCCCTGGACACTATGGGCAATTTAACGTGGCCAATCCACCTAACCAATCCACGTCTTTGGACTGTGGGAGGAAACCGGAGCACCCGGAATAAACCCACACAGACACGGGGAGAATGTGGAAACTCCACACAGTCACCCAAATGCTGGAATAAAACCCAGGCCCCTGGTGCTGTGAGGCAGCAGTGCTAATCACTGAGCCAACATGCTGCCCCTTTACCTCACATTCATCAATTTACCTGTCACAGATGCAACTATCAGTGCAACGCACGGTCTTTGTGGAGACAGAGGTCCCACCTTCACCAGACTTGTTTCAAGAATGGTGGGACTGGACTATGAAGAAAAATTGGGAAAATGAAACTGTCTACTCTAGCATTTTGAAGTGTTAGGAGGTGATCCTGTTGAAACTTAAGAAGGCTAGACTCAGTAGATGCAAGTAAGATGTTTCCCCTGGTTGGCGAATCTAGAACCAGGGAGCACCAATTAAAAAAAGGGGAGTGCCACTTAAGTCTGAGCTGAGCAAAATCTGTTTTACTCAGAGGGTTGTGAGCCTTTGGAATTCTCTACCACAGACGTCTGGGGAAGCTCAGTCTTTGAGTATGTTTAGGTAGAGATCCATAGATTTCTGATTACCAGTGACATCCAGGAGTATGGAATGGCTTGAGTAAAAGACATTCCAGTGTTTGATCACCCATGATTGTATTGAATGGTGGTGCGGGCTTGACAAGCTAAATAATCCATTTCTGTTCCTGTGCTTTACAGTAAATGAGCACTTAAATGGTGCTAAATGCGTTAGATTTTGAGCATGTATAGCTCAAAACTGGGTACAACTGGATACACTGCAGCAAAAGCAGATTCATTCAACCATATCAATAAGCGTGGTTCAGTAAGGAGTGTGGGTGATCATACCAGGAGTGGCACCAGGCCTACCTAAACTGAGGTGCCAACTTAGTGAAGCTACACATGTGCCTGTATGCAGAACAGCAAAAACTCCCTGCTATTGGCAGAGATAATTGATCAACGACTGCTGTATATGTACGCTATGCAATCCTGCCACATCAAGTTGCCAGTCAGTGGACAATTAAAATGCCTATCCAGAGAGTCAGAGGCTCCACAAATATCCCAATCCTCAGTGATGAGCAAGCCCAGGATGTCAGTGCAAAAGACAAAGCTGAAGCATTGCAGTCTTCAATACCTTTGCCTAAGATCCCAGTATCACAAATGTCAATCTGTGTATGGGGGCTGTCCCAAGTTATTTGCAGATCTAGCCGAACAGTTCCAAACCTATTATCCTAATGTAGATAGTGTGTAATATTTGCACGGGTATGTCCATGCAGAAAAAGCAGGATAAATCCAATCTGGCTAACTACTCTCCCATCAGTCTAAAGATGGAGAGAGTTGTGAACAGTATTATTAACAATAACCTGCTCATCGGTGTTCACTTTGAATTCTACCAGGGCACTTAGCTCCAGACCTCATTACAACCTTGGTGCAAACATGGACAGAAAGCTAAGTCCTTGACATCAAAGCAACATTGACTGAGTGAGGCATCATGGTGTTTTGGTTAAATTGACATTGATGGGAATGAGAGGGAGAAATCTTTGCTGGTTGGAGTCATACACTCACCCAGTGAAACATGGTTGTGGTGGTTGGAGGACAATCATCTCAGTCCCAGGACTTCACTTTCAGAGTGGTGTCCTTGACCCAACCAACTTCAGCTGCTTCATCAATAACCATCCTTCCCCCATAAGGTCAGAAGTGAAGATGTTCTCCGATTATTGCAATATTTAGCACCGTTCACAACTGCTCAGGCATTGAAACAGTCTGTGCAAGCATGTAGCAAGACCTGGACAACATTCAACTTAGGCTCATAATTGGTAACGTACTCATCACGCAGGTACCAGGAAATAATCACCTCTAACAAAAGAGAATCTAATTATTTTCCCTCAACATTCAATAGTATTTCCAGTACTGAATCCCCCAGTATCCGAATGCCAGAATTGCCATTGAGCATAAACTGTACTGGACCAGAAGAATATATATACTGTTGTTACAAAAACCTTTGATTCTCCAAATGAGTCTCCAGATCCTGTCCACCATCTACAAGTTAGGGCTGTGATGGAATGCTCTTCATTTATCTGGATGAGCTGCATCTTCAACAATCTCAAAAAAACCTAACATCATCCAGGATGAAGCAACCCATTAATTAGCACCCTGACCACGGCAACTCATGGTGGCAATGGAGTGTATTTTCTACAAGTGTCACTGCAGCAATTTGCTAAGTCGCCTTTGACAGCACCTCCGAAAACCATAACATTTGCCACCTAAAATGACTAGAGCAGCAGATGCATGGAACCACACTGCTGGCAAGTGCCCCTATAACCCACCAATCATCCTACTTGGGACTGTTTCGTTGTTCCTTCACTGTCCCTGGATTAAAGTCCTGGCACTCCCTCCCTTACAGTTCTGTGGCTGTACCTACATCCCATAAACTGCAGTGGTTCAAGAAGGAAGCTCGCCACCTTTTCAAGATTTGAATAAGAAATGTTAGATTTGCCAGCAATAGGGTATAGGCCAGCAATGAAAAATAAATCACTGGTTTAATACTAAACTATGATGTAACTGTAAATTCAAATATGGTTTCACACATACAAAATCTAAATTGTTACGATGCATGATGGGTGAAATCACGTTGTTAGCCCGTACTTAATATCTTGAATATAATTTGAAATAAATTTTTGAAAATTTTGTAAAGGATTGAAAAGATGTTATAAGATGATTGTAGTGTAACTGATATTACCCATGCTGTTTTTCCTACCAAGAGTTCTAGAACTATGAGAAGGCCATTCAACCCCATGAGACTTTTCCAAGGTTCTTCCAGATATTGCTGCCTCAACCCATTTGTATTGTATACATGATTCTTAGAATTTTGCAGCACTGCTAAGTCGGTGTTTGTAACAAGCCCACCTAAATTCTGGAACAGGAAAATGTAGATTCTGTAACACGTGCATATGTTTACGTCTTTAGAAAAGTGTAAACAAAGAACTTTTATTTCTATAACTTCGTTCACAACATGAGGATTGCTGAAAGCATTTTACAGCCAATGAAATACTTGAGAATTGTGGTAATTTTTCAAACATAAGAAAAATGGCAACCAATTTGTTCACAGCAAGGTCTCCCAAACAAAGATAAGCAGATACAGAGTGTCATTCATGGTGGCTGAGGTTCAAATGTTGACCAGAACACAAGGCAGAATTCTGCCACTTTCTGTTCAAATAGTGGAAGGGTTTCTATTATTCCACTTGAGTGGGTCATAATATTCGATCAAAATGTTAGAAAAATTATATTGCAGTATAAATTTCCTGCCTCCATTGAACAGAGAAGCCAAAGAGCAGGAACTGAAGCATATGGTGCAGTAACTGACTACAGAAGCATCAATGAGGAGATGTCTAAATCCAACCCATCACTCCATCAACCAGATACCTTGGAGCCAGATAGCTCTCTTCTGACAACCGCAGATCAATTTAAAATCTAGATGAAAAATATGTTGGTAACATTGATATGATCAAGGATTACTGTCGTCTTACAGCAAAATAGAGAAAAGGAAATCGGCTGTGCTCAGTTCATGCTGATATTATGATGGACGATTTACATAGACCCATGGCTGTGATACCATCCCATCATGCAGCATGTGGTTGCCCATAAGTTTTGTTATTTCATCTCCCCAGCCTCCAACATAATCATAGACAATCTCCTGTCTTCCTGATCTCTCTCTCTCCCCTCCACTAGCTTAAAAGCTCTGACATTTCTCTCCCTGTTCAGCTGTAGCCACTGACCTAAAGCATTTATTTGATTTCACTAGATGTTGTCTGACCTACTGAGGTTTTCTAGCACTTTCTGTTCTTAGTTTAATGATGATCTATAGTAGAGACAAAACTTAAAACACACAAATTACTCGTCAAGCAATAATGGGAAAAATACAGCAAAGTTTGCAAGGAATAATAGTGTTTCATTCTAGGCAGGAACCGGAGGATTCCACAAGTTGTCTGCCAGCAATGGGAGAAATGCCAAGAGCCACTGGGTTAGGAGCAGGAAAAATACCAACAGTCACTGGGTTAGGAACAGGAGAAACATCCAACAGTCACTGGGTTAGAACAGGAAAAATACTAACAGTTCACTGAGGTAGGAACAGGAGAAATACCAACAATGACTGGGTTTGGAACAGGAGAAATACCAACAATGACTGGGTTTGGAACAGGAGAAATACTGTCAGCCAACAGTTAGGATTGCAGAAGTTATTTGAAATTATCACCAGCTAGAACGAGAAATATCTGATTCTGCCAGATGGTGGCATAGTGGTAACATCTGTGGTTTGGTAGAGCTCCCAGGATAACGTTCTGAGCACCTGGATTTGAATTGCAACATGGTGTAAGGTGAAATCTAGAACAAAGGAACTGGCTAACATCCTATGGTTGAGGGAGTTTTCTTTTTTTCTAAATTAAGCTGATGTTTTTGAACAATATTTGTAAGCGAAAATCAACATTTATGACAAAAACAGAAGCAACATCAATCCAATAATACGTTTACAGCCTTTGGCTAACATATCGCATTAGTATTGTATCCTGTGTGCAAAGACTAGTCTCAACTCCTGCCTTCTCCAACTACTGTCCAAACTCTAACTTTCTCTCCTTTAAGGATTCTTTGAGGTGCTGTCTCTAAGATCCCCTATTTTCACCTTTGTAACATTAGCCATCTCTGCCTGTGCCTCGGCTCTTGGTGCTGAAATCTTCATCAGTGCCTTTAACCACGAGAGTTTTGCATTTTAATGCAGTCCTGATTGACTTCCCACATAATACTCTGTATGAACTTGAGATTGTCATTAGAAGCATCCCTACCTCTGAGCCAAGAGCTCTGGGTTCAAGTCCCACCTGCTCCAGAGGTGTGTTACAGCATCTCTGAACAGTTTGATCAGGGAAAATATCTACATTCTGCCTCACAGTGGCCAACATGAATTGAGCTGCTGCTGGTGTAATCTGCAGACTGACCAGAGAAGTCAAACAAGGGGAGACAGAATGTGTGCCTCAAGGAGTAGTGCTATATGACCTGCACTAACTAGTCCTCCATTCACAACTCCGAAGTCAGTTCCCAGTGCTCTTGCTGACTTGATGTTCTTTTAGCCTTGTTTAGACTAGTCTGCAGCCTGGAAGTTGGAGCCATTCCACAGTTCAAACATACATCTACAGGCCTCGCTGTCACTCTTCATCCTTCCACATCTTTTATTCCCCAATGTGCACAGCCACTTTTGACTCCAATTGTAACTCTGTACTGATGGGATCAACAATTGCTTAATATGTTGACTGGAATTGTTCTATATGTAATCTGCTTGAGCAATCACAATCAATTTCTGATGAAAGACTGCTGACCTGAAAACTAAAGGCAGCTTCTCTCTTAACAGATGCTCTCTGACCCAAGCAGTCCCAATTTTTAGTTTTTAATAAACTTCATGTTGGGCTTGAAATCACAGCTCAAACCTGCCTATAATTTGGTACAGTGTGTGCCAGAACATATTATGCTCCACTTCTCAATGTTAACACTTCTTGTGCTAGTTTCAAAAATACTGCACATATTCTAGCAAGCAAATTCTAATGGTACAGTTAACTCTTCTTTCGTTCCTACTGCCAAATACCATTAGGAGCCTTGTATGAAAATCAATATTATACAGTTTACATTTGCTCGTGGTTTGTGTATTACAGTTAGAGACTTGCTCGCACGTAAGAAAGCTGTCATAGTGAGATCTCTCTGATCCCTCATTTATCTGGAATCTTGGATGTTTGCAGATTATGTTTTTGCACTGCCCTGAGCCTCTGAATATTTTGTTGATGTTAATTCTTTGTTTGCCTTCAAGAGGGAACCAGGCTGATTCTTGACTGGGGCATAAATAACATCATCCAGGAGGATTACCATACAATGAATTCATGGTTCATATGATTTGATGGCCTAAGGGTGTCAGCAAGAAATATAGGCTGTAGAGTTTTCTCTCTATTTGCCTTTGCCAGAGAATTACATGAGTTTAAGGCTGAGTGTTCAGGGTGTAGGTGAGTAGAACATGAATATTTATGTTACTCCTGCTATCATTAATGTGGGAGAGACTTAATGGATGAGCTAGTCTCTTCCTCCCCATCACTTCTGTATGTTCATTCATTCATCTGTCATCACTTTTAGTTTGATAACTCACCACCATGATATGTTTACTGTTTGTCTGATGTCAAGTGACAGATTAGACAGAATATTTTCTTCAACATAATATTGGTAAAATCAAAATCAAGTCTAGTCAATTTGCATCATTTGTTCTATTCCCCAACCCTGATTGCATCGTCCTCTTGTTGTTGCATTAAGGGTATAGTGTCAGTTTGCCATTTGACCCTAAACTGTCCAGTCTAGTTCTACAGTTGTCCAAACTTTGTCCTGACGAAGTTTCTGTAATCTGGTATGAATTTCAATGCTGTGTATCATGTCATGTCAACAGAAAATGCTCCATGACTTGCCATTAAATTGGTTGACTGCATCATGGGAGGAGCGTGGGTACACTTAGGCTTCAAACACCATGTCCTAACCATTACTGCTTATTTGTACTTCTGCAAATGAATCACCACTGTCCTCACCTCACCATCACAAAACTGCTGAGACTGTAATCTCTTTCCATATCGATAATCCACATTTTTAACAAATCACCCAGCCCACGTTATATTTCATACTCCTTCAAAATGCATATGCTCAATACCCTTTGTGGGAGCTCTGTCTCTGGCAAGTCTTGCCTTTGCAATCTTCCTGCTATTTCACTGTTCTGCAATTTTCTCCAATCTTCACACCTCACTCCTACTCTGGCCTCCTTTACAATTATTACGCACACTGCCCTTATACCTACCACTTTACTGCTTCTATCCAATTGCAGAAAACTAAAACACATTTCCAGTCATCTCCCGTAACACAGGGTACCTATACTTGTTAGGTGGTAAAAATAGGGATGTTAAAAGTTGTAACCCTAACAAGATTGGAAGTGAATGAAAGTAGTTGAATATGACACTACTGAATTTATATCTATGTAAAACAATTCAAATTTTCAGTCTCTATATTGTAAATGTGTACAAGTGCTAGCTGAAAACAGCAAGTCCTGCTGTATTGTCTCACTCAGCCATCTATGTAGGAGACTTCAGCAATCACCGTAATGACTGGTGTTACTCATTGTGAAACAGAGATAGTGAGCAGTTTCTCAAGGAGGCCTCCAGAATTACCTCACCTTGATACATGAGCTAAAATGGAGCCAGGTGGAGTTGTAAAGACTCACTTGGCCATCGTACTATGTCTCACCATCAGTCAATACATCTTTAAGAGACATCCTTATTACATCATCACCATCTCATAACATGTGAAGGTATACTCCATCTTACCTGAGATCATTTGAAGCGTGATACACTCCAGGAGGCCTACTCCTCAGTTTTAATCGATTAGCTTAATTCTAGCCCAGACACTATATACCAGCGAGTGTAATGTTTGTATATAATAGCAGTAATAGTTAATAAATTAATATCCAATGTCCACGTCCAGTTTCTTATGGTATGAGGGGCAACATAAGCATTACCACCTCAGTTAAAATACCTTGCTGGAAACTCTAGTAATGTGCAGGGCATGGCAATCCTGATCTCTTTAAGATCACAGAATTGGAGAAAGTGTTCCCGGGCCTAAAATGTGACAAAGCA